TAGAATCTGCATTTTTAACAAGCATCTGACTGGGAGACAGGTGACCCATGGACCATGTTTTAAGAAATGCTATCATCAAGTCATATGTTTGTATAAATGCTGTAATATTTTACTTTACCATCTGGAGTTCCAGTTAATTAGGGCTCAAAAGGGGCTCTGGGTTATAGAACATAAACTATAAGTCCTCAATTCAGTCAATTAAAAATATGACACAAAATAAGTGTCACTAGAATCACAGATCCTTCTTTGGAAATATCTTCCCAAAAATATGTGGTTTCATTGTGACATATTTTACTGCAGGCCAATTGTAAAATGGGAAGGCATATAAGTTATCAAATTTGGTTAGTTTTCTTTCTCCTCTTAAATTACTGATTATTAGAAAGCATTTAGTGTTTTAGAGGTAAAAATATATTATAGAGTGCTGACTTTAAGTCTATTTTGTAGGAAAGTGATTAATACATTCTGGCTGAGAAGTATGGCTATGCTATTCAAACTAATTATTCGTGTATTACTTTCATGATTTTGACCAACTCCAAATATCTGTTGTCAATATTTTTCTCCTCTTTTAAGTAAGTTTTTATTTGTCATGAGCACAATGTTTGTAAAACATTAAGTAATTGACTCCTCTTTTAAGTAAGTTTTTATTTGTCATGAGCACAATAATGTTTGTAAAATCAAAGATTTCTTTTGCTAGTTATATTTTTCTCATACTTTCCATAAGTGTCCAAATAAAAAACAATTTTCTATATTTCATCTAAAATCATCTCATATACCAAAGTCATCCAGGTATCCCACCTTGGGAAATAGGATGCAAAAAGATGCTTAGGTCTTACTCTCAAAGGATTTATATTCTACCTCAGGAAATCAAGCATCTGCTATGGGATGATAAAGACAAGCCAGGAGACTTCAGCTATTGGCAAGAGGGGAAACTCATCAAACATTTTTAGAAAGCTAATTTGTAGCAATAACACTAGACTTACTTATACTCTTTGATCCAGTAATTCTACTTCTGTGAACTAGCATTTGTGTATTCAAAACATTGGAGCCATCTTGAAGGTCAAAATTCTATTTTGACATTTCTATATCATTGAATGCTACAATGTCATTAAAATCATCTTTAGAAAGACGTTTTTAATGGTAAGTGAAAATATTTGTAATATAATGCCAGGTGTGTAAAACAAGATACAGTATAATCTGAAATATGGTAAATAGAATCCTTAGAAGACAAGGAATATGACAAAATTAGAGTATTTTTTTTTCTCAGTAGTGAGGTTATGGATAATCTTTATTCTTTAAATTTATATGTTTCTATATTTTATCAGTTTTTACAATTATATAAAGTATAAATATATAAAATATAATTTACTTCATTTCCCTATGACATTTGTCTTGAGGTTGTGTCGGGGAAGAGAGGTCCTACTTCATGTGGGTGTCAGAGTTTGCATACAGGAGACTGTGGATTGAGGTTACCTCGTGCCTGTCAGGAGTATATTTTAATCCGATCATGAGAGTGAGTTTAAAGGCTTAAGTGAGAAATGTCTTTACTTCCTCCAGAATCCAGAAGGCAGAGCTGCTGTGTCACAGCTGAAGTAGAATAAGGGACAATAGTTGTAACCTCAGAGGTTATAACCTGAGAGGTGGGCCCCTGGAGTAGTTTATGAATGTACTGGCGGGGGCAGATGAAAATCATGATTTCATGAGCTGAACTGAGACATGCAGAGTTGAATAATAGGAAATTATGTCCAGGGGTTTGTACATTCTTCTCTTATACTCTACTTTTTCTTCTCTGAATTTCCCTTCTAGTGTGGTAAATTTGTTTTCCTGGCTGGGCAAACTTACACCACACAGAAGGCACATTGGCAAAAAGGAACACGGGTGTAGACCCAGGGCTAGTGTCTGTGGAGACACCTCTCTTGCTTCTGTAATTTTCTCTGGGAGGAGGCGAATGTGGTAGGGGGACCTTCTTGGGGCTGTCCTGGGCTCTTACTCCATTCTTCACCTTTTGTCACTCTGTTGGGAGTCTCTTACCTTTTATTCACAACCTCTCCCATGTTCTCCATCTACCTTGAACCTCCTTAGCCTCCTGCTGCTCTTGCAGATTACTCACATCCTTTTCTCATCTGTTCCTTTATCTTTTTCTCTTCTCAAACTGTCATCTTTTAGGTACTCTCAACAATGCCCATCCTGTTACCATGTCCATCTCTCTTACCCATCTCTAAGACCTTTCTGTTCCTCTTACCTTCTATTTTATATGAACGCTACCTTCTCTGACCTTCATTGTCAGTCATCTGTACTTAATATATATTTTTAATTTTTATTAAATTTATTGAGATGACACTGGTTAGTAAAATTATATAGGTTTCAAGTGTGCAATTCTACATCATCTATATATTGCATTGTGTGTTCACCACCCAGAGTCAGTTCTTCCATCACCATATATTTGATGTATTTAATATTTAAAAGATAAATTTCTCAGTCTTTCATTTCAATGTCCCATCTCCTCAACTTTCCTCTTTGCCTTGTATCTCCATCAATGCTTCAGTTACCCTGACATCCTGAAGTGATGTCATTTATTTATATAGATAATATTCCTCTCTGTTCAGTCTCCACAGTTATTCTGCCACTTTTCACCCAACATACTCCTGCCATGCCTTCTTGTTTCTAATTTTTCCTACTTCATTTCACTCTTTTATAACCTTGGGTCCTTAATCTTCTCTATTTACACTTATTTCCTTGGTGATCTTATTCAATCTCAAATGTAACATATTCAGGACTGAGCTCCTGATCTTTTACCCCAAACCCATTCCTCCTGCAGCCTTTATAACATCAGAAAATTTTAACTCCATCCTAGATCACAACCCTTGGAACCATCCTTGATTATTCGCTCTCTCTCACACCCCACATTTAAGCCTTTAGAAAATCCTATTGTCTCTTCCTTCAAAATAGATCCAGAATCTGACCCTTTTTTTCTTCCTCCACTGCCGCCACCTTAGTCCAAGGCACTATAATCTCTACCCTGGACTATCAGCTCCTCAATAGTTTCCCTGATTCTACTCTTGTCTCCTCTTCAGTCTGCTCTTAACAGCCAGACTGATCCAATTACTCATGTATACAATATCCTTCAATGGCTTCTCATCACCTAAGTGGGGAAGACAAAGTCTCACAGTGGCCTATGAGACCCTCCATGTTCTGGCCCCATGTGTCTCTGACCTCACCTTCTCCTACTGTCTTTCCTACTTCACTTCCCCACACTGGCTTCCTTCACCCTTACAGGCTTGCACCTGCCTCAGGGCTGTAAACTTGCTGTCCCCTTTGCATGGAGGTTTCCTGACAGATACCTGCACAGCTTGCTCATTCACTTCCTTTATGTGTTTATGTAAAGCTCACTGAGGACTTCCCTGCCTCTCTTATATGAAATCATAACCTTCCTGCTCTCCACCCCCAGTATTCATTACTCCCTTTCCTGCTTTATTTTTATTCTTCATGCCTTTCAGCATCTGGTGATGTATGTTCTAACTCATTTATCTTACATATTGACTATAAAGCAGTCCCCTTTATCTGCAGGAAACATGTTCCAAGACCCCAGTGGATGCTTGAAACAGTGGCTAGTACTGAACCCTGTATATGCTATGGTTTTTTCCTATACATATGTACCTATGATAAAGTTCAATTTATAAACTAGGCAATTTCATGGATAAAATTTTTGTTCTTAACCATAGATCTTAGCAACCTCAACATTAAAAAAATTTTTCTTTCCTTATTAAGTTGAGAAATTTCACCTTTACACTTATTAAGTCGAGAAATTTCACCTTTACACTTATTAAGTCGAGAAATTTCACCTTTACACTTAAAGGAAGCACTTATGAATTCTCTTTGGCATATCTGAATTGCCAACATTAGCACTCTAGCTCTTTGGGGGTCATTATTAAGTAAAATAAGGGTTACTTAACACAGGCACGGTGATACCATGACAGTCTATCTGGTAGCCAAGACAACTCTAAGTGACTAATGGGTAGGGAGCCTACACATCGTGGAGATGCTGGACAAAGGGGTAATTCATGTTTCAGGTGGGGCAGAGTGAGATGGTGAGATTTCATCATGCTACTTAGAACGATATGCAATTTAAAACTTATGAATTATTTATTTCTGGAAGATTCCATTTAATATTTTCAGACTGCAGTTGACTGTGGGGAACTGAAACTGGAAAGTGAAACTTTAGATAAGGGACTACTATTATATATTCCCTTATTAGGAGGCAGCCCTGTGACGGTAGGGGTCTTGTTTGGTTCATTGCTAAATGCTCAGGATCCAGAAGAGTATCTGTCCTCAGGGAGAAGTTAGTAAATATTTGAGGAATGAATAAATGAATCCACTATCTTTTACATTATGTCTTCTTCCCACCTCTTATACTTTCGCTCCCCTCGAGCTGTGGCTTTAATTCCATTTTTGACCATATATGTTCCTTCTGCTTTCTTATTTCTCAATCCTGAATCATTTACATCTACTTCCCTCTCTTATTTATTTGGCTTTGTTTCTCTTCTTTGTAAGACATGAGTCATGTTCCAGTGCCACTTCTTTTCTCCTTACCATTTTGTTTTTCCCCTCCTTAGCTTCTGCTCAAGCTCAGTGAGGTTCAGTTCTCATCTTTACTCTTATAATTTTCAAATCCATACTCTATTATTTCCAAAGCAACATAAGATGCTATGTGCTGTGTATAAGAAAACAGCTGTGGATGTTGGCCATAAATTGTATAACCTAATGTTAAAAGGGAAACAGTAAAAATGAAGTATGTTATGAAATGTGAGTGATTGTTCCATAAAAAGCTATGGTTCAGCAGTCTTTAGGAACATATTTATTCAACTTCTTATTTAATGTCTCAACTGGTGATTCATAGTATTGATCTTGTAGATCATATATCATGCTTAGAATGACATAGTGCTGGGGTATAATCCACAAATGACTGGCAAGTAGAATAACATATAAGACAGGTATATAGTTACCTGGTAATAAATGTCCTCTCATTGACGAAGATCCAAGAAGAGCACTGGTAAGCCATCATAGTTATCTCTACTCTCTTTCTGAGATCATCTGAGGATGCCCTAAAACATTAGAATAGTATTAATGGCATGTTCCTGTGATACATTCATAAATTAGTTCCTGACTTAAATTGAATTTTTTAGTTGTATCCCTAGTGTGTAAAAGTATTTTGGGGGAGTTTTTAAGTAGTGTTTCATGTATAGGCATGAGGATTGGGTTGGGGAGGGAAGGTAAGAGAAGCTTTTTTTTTTTTTTTTTACCACGTGCCTGCTGTGGATCTTACACGCTGTATGTGAACCATTTTATAGGCCTTATCTCATTTAATCCTCAGACTATCCCAGTAGGTATGGGTGTTATTACCTCCATTTCAAATTCTTAGTAAGTAGTGAAAAACAGAAAATTTGAAGCAAGGCCTGAATGTCTTCAAGGCCTCTACATTTTTCTTTTCACCAATGTTGTTTTTCCAGCTTGGAAAAGGTTATACAAATTAATTTTTTTTTTAATTTCTATAATTTTGTCCATTCTAAGATTCTATTCAGAGTTTTTTTTTTCTATGTCTAAGGGAACTAATATTGAGGGTAAGTGAGATATTCTCCAAAATCTTCAATTATAAGAAAATAAGCTTAGAATTCAGTTTTAACTATAACTCACTTTGAGTGAGTTTCTTAATGGTATCCTCTAAACTTCTTTTTCATGACTATTCATAGGATAATTTGTTTGGGGAACAAGTAATAATGTGTTGTTTTCTCTGTACCCCTACCCTGTCCCAACCCATATAAGTTTTAAGATGTTTAGATGTTCCCATCTGTTCTTATTGCTCAATATCTGCTTTTGAGAAAAATCCATTTTATCTCTTTTGATATCATCTTCCATCTTAAATTGAAAATTATATTCTTCATATAAATTAGGGAACATAGTAGTAAAGGAAGAGGAACATATACTTTTGTCAATCTCTAAAAATAGATGATAAAGGCTGTATGAAGAAATATTAGATAAGCCACAAATATATACCTTGACATATGGTCTCCCTCTTGGTAATCAATTTGAGAAATTGACAACTGTAGAATAGAGGGACAGTGAGCGAGAAACGCAGATGGGGCGAAGCACTAATTCTATGAAAGTACAATAGAAACCATAGTGTTGGCCTATGATAAATGCTAATGATTTGAAAATTTACAAGTGAAATCCTGGATCAAAGTTATGCTGATAATCACTTTACAGTTGATGGTTGTATTAGCTATGCTCCTAGTAATGAATGTATCCAGTATGTCCAAATTTGGCATAACTCCTATTATAAGTAATCCTATTTCTGAATTTTTAGTATTTGATTTGGAATACACGCTCAGAATTTTTTTTTCATTTTTTAACTTATTCACACTTCTGATGCTACCAGGTTTTAGTGATTTAAAAGTTATCCTCCTGTTCCATCTCTCCATAAATGCACAGATGTGCTTGGGGTATTTGAAGCCGCTCTTTCCTGCTGCAGAGCTTACTTTTTATTGAGAAGTATAAAAAGAACAAAAGAGAAGCCACATGAGGAATTCTGCATGGCTGGAATAATGTTTCTGAAGCCTTGCTGTTTTTACAGTTTATAGTGAAATTTCCAGAAATGTATATAAAAAAGTTTAGATGTCTTGCTGTTATTACATTTTAAAGTAAAATTTCCAGAGACTAGTGGTAAAAAAAAAAAAAAATCCAGTCAGTTTTAAACTTCCGCTTACTTAGCAGCTCAGTGTTATCTTCTTTAAGAAGATATTCAATTCTCAAAGACCGCTATGACCCAAAAAAGAGGCCTTTTCAATCACTGAAATTCTTATGGCAACATGGGAATACAAGATAGCTAGAGTAGAGAACAGATTCTAGGGGGCAATGTTTGGAGGTGTGAGGAAAAGAGGAAACTTTACTATGTAAATTGAAAAACTACAGAATCAGTGGCCTAAGGCAAGGAAAGATGGGCCAATGTGGATAGTCTGCTTTGGAGTATTTCTACAAAGAATTTTCTCCTGTATGATTCTGTGCAAGGAAACATATTCCTTATATTACAGAAACTCAATCCAACTGGCTGAACCCTGCCCAGTCCTGCAAACACAATTTTAAGTTTCCAGGCAGCTGAAATCAAGCTTGGACACGCAGGATTGATTAAGTGTGACATAACATCGTTTAAATCTCCTTCAGGCTCTGGAAACTGTGGTCAGACATGAATAATATCCTCCTTTATGTCTTCATATAAATAGCATTAAGGTATAGCCAGAGATTTAAAATATAATAATTTCTAGTTATTCAATTTTGCAGACATTGAATATTTAATTACCATTGCTTTAAGCCTATGCAGTCATAAGGAATATAGCCAAAATAAAAAGGTCGGCTGGAGAGAAAAGATAATTTATTTTATTTTAAAAAAGAACAAGAGGGATTTCCTCCTTTCCCTTCTGAATCAGATTATTTTGGTTGAGATAAGGTGTGTGGAAGGCATTTCAGGTCATTTTCCTCCAGGAGAATCCCAGTATAGAAAATAAATAAAGAAGGAAGGAAGGAAAGAAGGGGGAAAGGATAAAGCCAGTCTCACAAAATTCCTGATGCATATTTTTCCTCAAAGCCCATTGTTAGTTTGAAATTATATAGCCTATTTGAAGGCTATGAGTATACCTCACCAGGCATATGTAAGAGTCTGTAAGCTGAATGCTTGACTAGTTTCCTTTTATGCTTTTACCATTATGATTTCACATCATTTTCTTGTCCACAAACTTTCCTGGGATCTCATTCTTAACCAATACAGTGCAGGTCCCTTAATCTGACATTCAGGCTTTCTGCAATTCCACCCAAACCTATCTTTTCAAACTCAAAATTAAAGTTTTCTTTAACACCAGACCTAGTCTAATGGAATCTCATACCATCGAGCCTCTTCTCACCAGTTTTCTCACGTAAGAGAGCCCTTGTCACTGCAGGTCCATTTCTGCTTCCTTCTAGTCCCTGAACAAATGGGACCTTATCAAATCTTCCATAGCCTATTATCTACACTGCTGTGATGCCATTTTCTGCATTCCACCGTGAATTGGTATTATTGATTCATGTATTTTCTCTTTTCCTACTCAGATCCTCTAGCTGGGAATGTCATCCTCTTTGATATCACATTATTTGGAGGAAGGAAACCTTATAGAGAGGACTCATGCTCAGCAAAACGGGCAAATTAGCTCTGTAGATCAGAAGCTATGTGAGCATTTTAGGCTCCTTTGGGACAGAGACACAGCATGCTCTGTGAGCCTAACAAATCCCAGTCACTCATTCACAGGATTTAGTCTGGCTTGTTTGGCTGTACAGCCCTTGCTCTTGACTCTAAACCCCGAGTATTTCCCCTAGATTTTGTCATTCTAATCACCCACAAAAAGAGTTATTGATGTGCCCTAGTGAACCTTGCTGTTCAAACATTACTTTCTCCTTCCTGGATCCAGATTATTTGTCATTTGTTTCTTTAATTCAACTCCTCTTGTACTTCTTCTTCCACATTCCAATAGTTCATTTTCTCTTTGTATTCTTTCTGCCTCTTAACAGCATTTGACAAGGTTGATTGTTCCTTCCTTTTGAAACACTTTCTTTCTCGCAGCAATCACAACCTTGCCTTGTTTTCTTGCAGTCTCATCAACTTCAACCTTTTAGCCTTCTCTGCCAACTCTTCTAGATGATCACAAAATGCTTGCTTGTTCTACTAGTCTGTCTTTTGCCATCCTCTCTTCTCTACCTATACTTTCTTCCAGGTAATCTAATCCATCTTCAGCCCATCCTTTCTGCTGAGCTCCAGACCCATGTCATTACCTAATTAATCTCTACTTGGGTGTTTAACAGGCATCTCAGTATCAATATGGCCAAATCAGAAACACTGACTTTGTCCAATGGTCCAGAATTCCAGCCTCCACAATTCTTTCCTGGTAGGCCCCAAAATTAAGACTAGTCTTATTTTTAACTCTTTCATCATAACCAGATTCCAATCCAAAAGTAAGTCCTATTGATTATACCTTAATATGTAACCTGAACTCAAAAATTTTTATTTCCAATGCTATAACTCTGAGCCAAGCCACCACCGTCTTTCTTCTGGATTACTGCATCAGCCTCCTGACTGGTTTCCCTGCATCCCATCATGACCAGTATTCCATTCTCCTCACAGCATCTAGAATGATAACTTTAAAGAGAGAATCAGATTTTGTCATCTCATAATTAAAACCCTGCAGACTTCCAAGAATGAACTAGCATAAAACATAATCTCCTTACGATGACTCACAAGGTCCTGTCACTATATCAGTATTCGCTTCCTTCAGTATTTCCCTCATTGATTACATATCACTTATACTGGCCTTCTTTCTGGTTTTCAGCCACTCCCTAAGCTTATTCCCATCTCAGGGATTTATACTTGCTGCTCCTCCTACTTGGAGCTTCTGTCCCTCAGACTGTGACACGGCTGCCTGTTTCCCATCATGCAGGTCTCAGTCCAAGTATCTCTTCTCTCAGAGGCCTTTCCTAAGCAAGTAAGTCTCAATCAGTCACTATCACACTAGTGTCATCTAGTTATGTGTTAATATCTGGAAAAGGACCTCATTTATTTACATTGTCTGTCTCCCCCAACTACAATATGAATTTCTTACAATAAGAGCTTTTAAAATTTACCTGTGCACATTCAACTCTTAAAATTTTGTCTGGAATATGGAAGGCATTCAATTAATATTTGTTGAGTGACTTGACTAAATGTAAAGTTGAAGATGTGACCCAAAGGATTAAGTACTCGTTACAAAACTTTTCTTGACCTCATAGTTAACATTATATTTTAGCTAAGACTAGAAGTTGGGGATATCTTGCACTGAAGAACCACCAATGGAAGCCTCTTATAATAAAAAAGTGCTATTGACAGTGATGGGCTGAAGAATCACTGCAGCAGCATGCTGACTGGCTCCCTGATTGTATTCATTAAAAAAATAGCTAAGGTATCATTAAAGATGGCAAACAATCGCTATGTAAACTTGTAACCTTGCTGAAGCAAGTCAGAAGACTTCAGACGGGATGAAAGAATTTCAAA